TACACAGAAAACACTTGAGCTAGAAAGAATTTTGGTGTGCTGTTTCCTAACATGTTATTTAGTCTAGTAACAGAACTACATGTATAGGCTAGTAATGGAACTATAGGCTATTAACAGAACTATAGTCTAGTAAATGAAATAGGAATATGCCAAAACCAACTTTGCTAGGTGATTTTGAAATTTACAAATGTGTTGAATGTCAAATGCTTTTATTAAATTTTCTTCTTTGTGATTTTTATTTTCAAACAAAAAATATTACACTTTTAAATTGAAACTGGAGTTGATTTCCTGTATTCAAACTTAAAGTACTTCTTGAAAAATGTAACCAAATTTCAGTTTTAGAACTAATTATCTAAAAAACTTTTTTGAATACATACAGCCGCAGTTTCTGATTAATTATTTTAGTTACTAATGAAAATATATTTATATGTTTTTTACTGCTGTTTTAATTTTAAGAATTTTTCGTTTTCTTTACTTTGAATTATTTTATTAAAATGTGGCCATGTAGATGACAAATAAATATATTATTCAAATTCAATTTTGAAAAATATATGTAATTATTTACATATATGTATATTTTTTTTTCATTTCCTATGCATTATTACATTTTTTAATGTTACCGAGAAAAAGTCTTATAATAACTACTAAGGGCTAGTTTTTATTTGTATGTTATATAGAAAAAATCGTGAGATAAATTTCACGAATTAAATACAGTCAAACCTGGAATAGATGACCTCATTTTCTTTAGAAACTAATGAGATGCTTGTCTCAATCGTTGATTGACCTATTTAGGAGAAACCAAAAATTTGTGCCGCACAAATAATAATGATTTTTAAGTTTTAAAGTAATTTATAATAATTGTTTAAAAAAATATTTTTGTTACCATTGCACCAGCCTAGGCTTAGATACTTTGTTGATATATGATATAAGACAAAAAAGACAATCAACTGATATTTCCTTACTTTAGGGCAATTCGGATGCTATTGGAACAATATTGCCCGCCACCACCGCCTGTACCCGAGAGGTCCAGGTACATAAGCACTTGTGTAGAAAATTATTTTGCTTTTTTTGTCACTAGTTTTTTTGTGAATCATTCATTTTTACAAAGGTGCAGGATTCTCATTTTACAGTACACAGACTTGTCATTTTGTCACAATTTTTATTATTAACAGAAACATAAACTTCTTAACAAGTTTTTACATAATTTCAGTGATTTTTAGCTCACCTGTCACAAAGTGACAGGGTGAGCTTTTGTGATCGCTTTTCGTCCGGCGTCCGTCCGTCCGTCCGTCGTCCGTCCGTTAACTTTTGCTTTAAATGACATCTCCTCATAAACCACTGAGCCAATTTCATCCAAACTTCACAGGAATGTTCCTTTGGTGGTCACCTTTAAAAATTGTTCAAAGAATTTAATTCCATGCAGAACTCTGGTTGCCATGGCAACCGAAAGAAAAATCTTTAAATATCTTCTTTTAAACAACCCTAAGAGCTAGAGCTTAGATATTTGGCATGAAACATCTTCTAGTGAGTGTCTACCAAGTTTGTTCAAATAAAAGCCCTGGGGTCAAAATTGGCCCCGCCCCAGGGGGTCATTGATTTTCCCTATATGCATATAGTAAAAACTTAAAAAATCTTCTTTTAAAGAACCCAAAGAGCTAGAGCTAAGATATTTGGCATGAAACATCTTCTAGTGAGTGTCTACCAAGTTTGTTCAAATAAAAGCCCTGGGGTCAAAATTGGCCCCGCCCCGGGGGGTCATTGATTTTCCCTATATGCATATAGTAAAAACTTAAAAAATCTTCTTTTAAAGAACTCAAAGAGCTAGAGCTTAGATATTTAGCATGAAACATCTTCTAGTGAATGTCTACCAAGTTTGTTCAAATAAAAGCCCTGGGGTCAAAATTGGCCCCGCCCCAGGGGGTCATTGATTTTCCCTATATGCATATAGTAAAAACTTAAAATATCTTCTTTTAAAGAACCCAAAGAGCTAGAGCTAAGATATTAAGCATGAAACATCTTCTAGTGAGTGTCCACAAAGTTTTTTCAAATAAAAGCCCTGGGGTCAAAATTGGCCCCACCCCAGGGGGTCATTGATTTTCCCTATATGCATAAAGTAAAAACTTAAAAAATCTTCTTTTAAAGAACCATAAGAGCTAGAGCTTAGATATTTGGCATGAAACATCTTCTAGTGAATGTCTACCAAGTTTGTTCAAATAAAAGCCCTGGGGTCAAAATTGACCCCGCCCCAGGGGGTCATAGATTTTCCCTATATGCATATAGTAAAAACTTAAAAAGTCTTCTTTTAAAGAACCTAAAGAGCTAGAGCTAAGATATTTAGCATGAAACATCTTCTAATGAGTGTCTACCAAGTTTGTTCAAATAAAAGCCCTGGGGTCAAAATTGGCACCGCCCCAGGGGGTCATTGATTTTCCCTATATGCATATAGTAAAAACTTAAAAAATCTTCTTTTAAAGAACTCAAAGAGCTAGAGCTAAGATATTAAGCTTGAAACATCTTTAAGTAAATATCTACAAAGTTTGTTCAAATAAAAGCCCGGGGGTCAAAACTGGCCCTGCCCCAAGGTGTCATTGTTTTTAACTATATGTGTATAGTAAAAACTTTAAAAATCTTCTTTTAAAAAACCCAATGAGCTAGAACTTAGATGTTTAGCATGAAACATCTTCTTATGGGTGTCTACCAAGTCTGTTCAAATAAACAAATAAAAGCCCTTGGGTAAAAATTGGCCCGGGGGTGGGGGGGGCTATATACAGGTGAGCGACCTCAGGGCCATCATGGCCCTCTTGTTTTTATTTTTTTAAAATTTTTTTTTTAGAAATAAAAATGGTTCACAGTGGCCTATTGGTCAAGATCTCCCTCTCCAAACAAAGAAATTTAATGTTGAATTCCTACTGTTTTCTAGACATGATATCTTCTTCAAGTTTGTTTTATCAACAAGGAAGCCCAATCTTATACTTTATTTTTGTTAGCAAACAATTTTCTGCTCAAGAAGGGGAACTTTGAAACCAAAGAAGCCCTAGTACAATCAAGAGAAAATAAGATGGTAAAATTCTTGCCAATCCCTGAAGCAGTTAAAAGTCACGGCATATTTATGGGCCAAAATTAATCAGAACAAATAGCAATTTAGCTTTTTCAAAGGGAGCATACTCTTGAGGGCATGAAAACATTGTATGGTTACTTCCCTTGTGTCATATTTCTGAAGCATAGAAAAAAATACAGGAAATAGCCAAAATATTACAGATTTAATGTCAGACTAGGGCCAGATATCGATTAAAAACTGATTATTGCAGCATTCACATGGTCTGTCTTGGCTAGATTATTAATAACTCTTGAGGTTCTTTTATTTTCTTCTTTTTTTTCTTTTTTTTCTGTTCTCATAAACAAAAACGAGCAGAAACTCAATACAGTTCAAACTAACAGTCGAGCCATGGGATATATTCTTCTTTGCAGGTTGAAGTTCATGTGGTTGTAGAGATTTGCTTGAAAAAAAAATATAAAAAAATAACCAGCATTTTGTATGTTTTTGTTTGTTTCGTGGATTTGTATCACTGTTTTTTCTTTATATTGGACTTTGTTGTTGTTGTTGTTTTCTTGCTGTGCTTTATATATAGGGTTTTAGGGTATTCAATCCATTTAAACAACAATAAGTGATTCTGTCTCAAGTTTCATGGGTGCAAGTTTTTCAGGCATTTGCCTGAACTTCAGAGGGGTTTTTTAATGCTCCTAAAATTAGTCTTTTTCCTATATAAAACTAATTAATATAGTGTTTAATTAAGGTTTCCCATTTTGGTAACTTGCACCAATGAAGTTTGTATTATCCAAGAATGTATTTAGACACTGGTTAAGAGGTCTGATACTTGACCCAGAGATTTTGGGTTAAATTGTTGGGGATAGGCTGTTTTGTTTTGTTGTTGTTTTTTTGTTGTTTTTTTTTGGGGGGGGGGGAGGGAAGGAGATTAAAGTGCTAAACTAAATATGTATTACCTAATGAAATAATATGTAGTGTTATACATGCATGGATTGCAGTACCTTCATTCACAGAGTAATTTTTTTTCTGGTTTTTATATAAATAAGTATGTTGTTATTGTATCAGTGTATCTTTCTTGAATATACATTCCTATTTGATTATAAAATGGATAAGATATGCAGATGAAGATTATTTAGATTATTTTCACTGTAATGAAAATGATAAAAAAAAAACTTTTTATTTTCAAATACTGTCAAACCACTTAATTTTGTGGGCACAAATTTTCTTTTTTGTTTGTTCGTATTTTTTTAAAAGAATATTTTCATGGTTTTTAATAATTATTGAATTGTTTTATGTAAAATATTAGAAAAAATTATCTAAGGAGAAAAATTAAATTTTTAAAAATTTTGTTGGTTCTTAAATTTGTAGATTTACCTATTCATGAAAATCACGAAAATATTGATTATTTTAAATGGTGGTGATAATTTGTCTGTAGACAAAGGAATTGTTCTTTGGTGTTTTTTCTTCTTTGTTTTTTTTTATAGATGTTTAAAATAAGTAAAGATATATTTGTTTTGGAGGTCGAATATTACCAGTTTGTTTCAACAAAACTTGGCATTTTGTGCTGAAAACAAAATGTCTTAAACCAAAGCTTAACTTACTCATAATGAGCTATAGTTTTCTTTGGCAATAAAATGTACAAGTTAAGCATTGTTTAGTTTATAATGGAAGACATCTTTCTATTAACAAGTATGACTCATAAAATATTAATTAGTGTAGACTTTGCTATTTATACTGAAATTCTATGATGAAATATCTTGTAAGCAAACAAATATCAAATTGGTAATTTATAAACAGTCTTTCAGTAGTAAAGTCTAAGAACATACTAATGAGTATTTAAAATAACCAATTATTATGAAATTTAGACATTTGACAAAATAGACATAACATTTTATAAACCCGGATTATAATTATATATATTTAAGACGAAAAATGTTGTTTTTCTTACCTTCAGGTGACTGTCAGTCCGTCTACCCCCGTTGCAGGAACTATTTAGTGGTGTCCTACCAGTTTTTGCGTCCTCCAAGTACCAGCGACAAACCATGAGAATTGTACAGCAAGAAATCAAACAGCCACTAGCAAGAAAATCGAAGAAGAGGATGAAATTGAAAACAGAGCAAGTGTTCCGTAAAGGACAACAACAATAATGAAATCTCTACGTTCAGTCTTCAATAAGTTGTAAACCAGTCTATTTGTGATACGTTCTAACTTTTGCTTAGCAGGTGTTCCCTAAAAGACAACAACAGTAATAAAATCTCTACGTCCAGTCTATCATAAGCTGTGTACCACTCCATTTGTGATACGTTCTAACTATTGCTTAGCAGGTGTTCCCTAAAGGACAACAACAGTAATAAAATCTCTACGTCCAGTCTATGATAAGTTGTGAACCTGTCTATTTGTGATACGCTCTAACTTTTGCTTTCAACTATCCTATATCTTTTTCTTTGTAAATAGAAGTAATAATGAAAGTCTGCTTGGCCATACACAATTGCAATATACATAAGAAACTATGAGTCAGTATTGGCCATGTTTCAAAGTGTATTGTAAATACTCCATCTAGACTGTGATATTTTTGTATATTGCAAGCTTTTTGGTTGAATTGGCTAAAATAGGAGTTTTAAGTGTGGTATTTGCGCCTATTTTACTTTAAAAGCATTGATGTGAAAAAAGTTGTATACTGTCGACATTCTACAACATATACTTGTATAGTTGTTATTGTATGAACTGTCATGTGATACAACAGTTTTAACTATGCAGACATGTATATATATTAACAAAGTGAGGTGCTTACAATGTTTAATGGCCCATTAATGCCTCAGAAATGCTTTTACCTTTTTGAAAGCTTTTTCAATGTTCATGCACATTTAAAGTATTTTAAAATGTTACTCATGGGCAAATTACCTGAATCATCACTTTTCTTCTTTTACTTTTTGGCAATAAGTTATATATAACTTTTATATAATTGTAAAGAAATAAAAATTTATTTATTTCTGAGGCATAATGTGCCTTTAAAACAAAAGTGACATGTCATTGCAAGAGGTGATATCGTAAGATCACTCTAAACTTGTGTTCCCCAACAAGACTTTATGCTGGTAACAAATGAGCTGCACTATTACAAACCAACATAGTGAGTTTGCGATCAGCATGGATCCAGACCAGCCTGCGCAACCAATTGCAATCTGATCAGCATCCATGTTGTTCGCTATCAGTTTCTCTTCTTGTAAGGACATTGTAGGCGTACAGCAAGGATCCTGATCAGACTGTGCGGATGCGCTGTAAAAGTCCTCAAATGACTGTAGCTGTAAAAGTCCACCATTGGCTTTAGCTGTAAAAGTCCACTGTTAGTTGTGGCTGTAAAAAACACCATTTGCTTAAGCTGTAAAAGTCCACCATTGGCTGTAGCTGTAAAAGTCCACTGTTCGTTGTCGCTGTAAAAAAACACTACTTGCTTAAGCTGTAAAAGTCCACCATTGGCTGTAGCTGTAAAAACCCCTCATTAGCAGTGAGGGTTTTTTCTCTTATAAACTGATTATGAAATTTTGTAAAACATAAATTTACTTACTACTTACACATTTTCTTTACTTTTAGTTTTGTTATAAAATAATCTCATTGAAGATGTTGTCTAATTGTTCGATTGTTATTTATTCTTTGTTACTGCTTGCAAAGGCGCAAATTTAAGTTATATTGTACAAGTCAATACTATTTTTTTTATAAAGAAATACTAACATAGAATAGGATCTGCTAATATTATATGTCAGAATGTAGTTGTTAAATAAGATCAAAATCAAGGTCATTACCAAGATCAAAATCAAGGTCATAACCAAGGTTACAATCAAGGTCATAACCAAGGTTAAACTCAAGGTCATAACCAATCCCATTAGACTTACTTTATTTGATAAGTACATATTTTTTTGTGATATGTCTAAGCGATTGAAATGGTTATATTTGCCCTGGAATTCAGATAGTCAAATGTTTATGTGGCTGTACACAACAAATGTAATAAAAATCAGTCTTTTCGGCAATTTTAGCTTGTCTGTTTCGAAGGTGCAGTTGTTAGACAAGGGGTGTAATTTTGAAAGCATTTTTGGAGTAGTGCCCCTTTTAAAGTGAGAATTTTTTAACAGACAAGTGTTAACAACGCATCCATTGCTCTTGTTATTCACAGTTATTTTGTTCCTTTTTTGATATATACGCACGTATTAAATATCATTTTAAGCGCAATTTTGTACAGAATATCTCTACAGGGGGGTAGACGGAGTATTGAAAATAATATAAAATCCTTGTTGAAACATACCATAGAATAAGGTTAGATAAATGTTTTAGCTCATTTTAGCTCTTGTTAATTGTTTTGAACACTGTCAGTTCTCCATGTCCATTTTATCATTAGCTATATTTTCACACCTTAGTGCAGTAATGAGTTAACTCCTATTAAATTATATAAGAAGTTAACTGGTTACTGCACTAAGATGACAATATAATATCTCAACATTTTTTTATCTTTGGATATTTTTTCATTTATAGGGACTAAATTTATCAATGTTTACGGCCATGCGAATTTTACATGTCATATTTAGACAATTTTAACATTTTGAGAATTTAAATGTGTTTTTCATAGAGAAGATTAGGGTGTGCCTCCGATATGTACAATTTATCAAACTGGGAAGGGCCGTGTTGCCATGGTAATCTTTCACCACAGCTGCTTTATAATAAAATCCACACATTTAAGACATTTACCTCGAAAAAACATTGTTCATATTATTTATTTTACATGTACCATTGTAATTTCATTAGATATTGGATCTTTATATGATAGATGTCCGTGATAATGAATTTAAATAACTATGTTCTATTATTTTTATTTAAAACACGAGAAATGTATGTAAAACTGTTTCCTGTGATTTTGTTTTTAGATATAATTATAATTCTTCATGTCCTTAGATTAAATAATAATTAAAATATTTTCACGCAAGGTTGTTATTTAAGGTTGTTCAATTAAGAATTTTCTTGTTGTTGTTTTTTTGTTTATTGGTGTAAAAGAAATGTATAATTGAAAAGGATTATGAATTTGATATAAATGCTTTGTATTTACAAATTCTGTACATGAAAATCTTTGATAAGATATGAAGTGTATTCGGCTACAGCAATAGAATAAAAAGAAAAAAACTCAGTAGAAACAAAATGTTTATTGATTTGAAAGGAAAAAAAAATATCCTAATAAGTTTTATTTGCTTGACCTATTCAAAGAACATGAAGAGAGCAATTGTTCGCACATCAGTGTTGTCGTCACACTTTGGTTAAGAATTTGCAAGTTAAGTTTTTGCCTGCAAGGGAATGAGTTGAAACTTTTCCCACTTATTTGAGGGCATAATAGGAGGTCACCATACATGTGATATTCAAGCAGGATTTAAAAAGATTCCAATATTTAGACCCTGATTCCAATTTCCTAATATGAGACATGAAATTCTTGATATTTGTCTCTCGGAAAAAAAAAAGAAATGTCAACGTAAAAAATCAAATTCAGCCCTGTAAATAAAATGAGCTGCACCATGACTAAACCAATGGAATGCATTTGTGACCAGCATGGATCCAGATCCACGCAGTCTGATCAGGATCCATGCTGTTCGCTATCAGTTTCTCTACTTGTTATAGGGTTTATAAGCTATAAGCATGGATCCTGATCAGACTGCGCGGATGCGCAGGCTGGTCTGGATCCATGCTGGTCGCAAACGCATTACGTTGGTTTTGTCAAGGCGCGGCTCAAATGTAAATTGTAACTCCAGGCATTGTTATGTGACACTTTCCAAGGCCCATAACTCTGACACTGAATTTGACAGAATTATGGCCGTTTTTAAACTTAAATAATTCTCATTTATCCAGGCTCTTGATTTACTATCTAGCACTGCGAATAGTTGAGCACACTGTCTACTGACAGCTCTTGTTTTTTAAATGTTAATCACGTTCCATCATGTTGGGGGGAAAGTTTTGTGTATGTTATTAATAAGTCCTAAAAATGCAAGTAGTTCTTCCATTATAGAGCATATTCTTGCAGTCTGTATTATTTATTGGTATACATTTGTCATTGGTATGCATTATTTATTGGTATACATTTCTCATTGGTATGCATTATTTATTGGTATACATTTCTGAATGGTATGCATTATTTATTGGTATACATCTATCATTCGTATGCATTATCTATTGGTGTACATTTGTCATTGGTATGCATTATTTATTGGTATACATTTACTAATGGTATGCATTATTTATTGGTATAACACTAAGATAAAAATCCTAATTCAGTAACATTTTGTTATTAATGGACACATTTCTATTTCTGTTGTTATAAACATGTATAGTAGCAAATTAAAAAGTCGCATCATTGCTTAGTTAATGTTAGTTAATATTTATTCTAAAATGTTTTGTAAAATAACTGTGCTACATGTATTTTGTGTAAAACCTTGAGACATTTAATAGTGAGAACTCTGCTGTAAGTTTTCTGTGTAGATTCAGTAAATTTGTTACATAGTGCCAAATGAACTTCCTAAATGCTTTAAACAAGAATGTCAGACCCTTTTCACATGGGTAAAATCCTGCTAGTTTACACAAAGCATGCAGTTTGTCAAGATTTTGTACTTTATAAATTAGTTCATTTCCTCACCTTAGTGCAAGAACTGTTTAACTCCTATTAAATTTAGGAGGGCTTGACTTGTTACTGCACTAAGGTGTCAATTTAATTTTATACTTTGATTCTGAAATCACTGACATTTTGTAATGGACTGAGTATAATTATGGAGGTCAGATCGAGTCTTGTCAATGAGCACAAAATAGGGAAGAAATGGGTAAAAGTATTTATTGTTTAAATCACCATGGTTGTTTTTTGCTTGGCCCTTAATTAATACAGTATTTGGATGTTTAGCACTTTTTTTTCAAGATTTTAAGAATTTAAAACTTCTACTTTTTTCATGTTTGACGTATAATGTAAAATATATGACTAAAGATGTATCAATGAGTAGAAAGTTCCTAATTTTAACTATATTTACTTCCCTTGCCAAAAGTGGCAGCCATTTTGGGGGTCACATTGTATATAATATAATTGACAAAGTATGAAAAAAATGATAAATACAGCAGATTAAGGTAAAAAATTTGACAAAATATAAATAGAAAATCAATAAAAACAGTCCATTTAGGTGAATTGTCTTTTATACATATGAAGGAATATATTTTACTATAGCACCAATATGTCACAAAAACTTTTGAAGATAATAGAATTATGAGAGATTTTTATCTTTGGCTTATGATATATGAACAAGACAAACCCCCCCCCCCCCCCCCAAAAAAAAAAAAAATGGCTGCCAAGGGAGGTAAAAATTGCTATTCCAAGGGAGGTAATAATTGCTATGTGAAGAAGTTAATCTTGTGATATTCCACTGGTGATGAAATAGACCAAAATTAATGGAATCAAACCAACAGCAGCATTATTGTTTTTTTTGAAATTTTGTTTTTTTGCAAAGTCCTGGGAACGTGAAACTGTGTACTTTTAGGTTAGTGAAATACTCTCTTTGCTGTTTTGATTTGTATGTTATTTCTGTGTAAGACATGGACCAAATGCCTCAAGTTTTAGCAAGTACTATGTTAGAAATATTTAGGTACTGGTTTTCAATATGACCAAAGTTTTTTGTTGTGTTATATAAAGTATAGAAACAAATAATTGTTGCACATAGCTAAAGAAACATAAGGACCTAGGATTTTTTTTTTAAATCCGATCAACTAAGAAATGAAATATTAGGGGGCTATACTCTCCAATATTTGATAGTCACAAAACGTATTGTTTAAAAATGCATGCTTTTAGTGTATTAGATGTGAGAATGTTATAACCAATTGCTAAATTGTTGATGCTTTTTGAAAAAAATGGAATAATCCAGTTTATGTTTATGTTAGTATTCATCCGTGCTGTTCTACAGAAATTAGAAATTTCGACGGGAGCGATAGCGACAGGAGAATGTTTCTAATTTCTGTAGAACAGCTAAGAATGAATGCTCAAGTGTCAAGCTTTATTCGGCTTCATTAATATTCACTTTAATACATGACGACTATTTTCGAGAACGCGGTTCTATGAAGCACTATGGAAAATAGAAGGCGACCTATGAACGGAATTTGATATACTATTGACTTTTGTTCTTCAATGAAAATTGACACCCATAACACACGTATTATTTTAAGAAATAATGCGTTTTTCATTGGATCATCAATAAAGCTGGACACTTAACGTCACCTTAGTGCAATATCGTAATAAGTCCTTCTAAATTTAATAGCAGTTAATCAGTTATTGCACTAAGGTGATGACTTACGTGTCTCTGTGGTAACGTATTTGTTTTTTTCTGTGATTCTAGATAGTATTATTACTGGCTGTGATACAAACTAGACCAGAATTATTGTTATACCATTATTTAAATAAATTAGTAAAATATAAAACTTTGTTTCTTTTCTTTTATTCTACTTGTACAGGATTTAAAATAATGAACATTATATGCTTCAGTATTACAGAACTCCTTTAAGAAACAAGAACGATCAGTGAATTCATGTGTCGATCAATGATCATGTGATGCCAGATGAAAGCCAATTTTACACTCTGAGATTATAAGACTTGTAAAAAAACAACAACTTTGTTTGTTAGCACTAGTGGTTACTGTTTTGATCCAAATATCCTTGAACTTGGTCCGAAAGTTTGTTTTCATGATTCTAGGTCAAGATTGAATATGGGTCACCTGCGGTAAAAAAAACTTGGTCACACTGCTCAAATATGGAAAAACATTGTTAAAGCTCTAGTGGTCACATTTTCTCAACTATCATGAAACTTGGTCATGATGCTTGTCTAGGTAATTGCTCTGATGAGTTTGATTGGTCAGGTGAGCGATCTAGGACCATCTTGGCCCTCTTGTTTTCTACTTGTACAGGATTTGAAAAAAAAAAAGAACATTATATGCTTCAGAATTATGAAACTCCTTTAAGAAAAAGAGGTGTCTCTGTATTGTTTTCACTTAGTTTATACAAATTTATTTTAGTTTGTGTTGGAAGCTATAAGCTTATTGAAACACTCAAATCCGTTCCTGGAACCAACCAGTACTAAGGAATGAGTATAAAGTTTCTTGCTCAAGGAAACAATGGCTTGCCCCTGAGAGGGCTTGAACCCACACAGTCAGCAATCCTTAGATTACTAGTCTGACGTGTTTTCCCAAATGAATGAATTTAAAATAGTAGGCCCTTTTTCAAGATTTTTTATTTTCATGAAATGAAAATTAGTACATACGAGTGCCATACAGCTACATTCTTTATCCACATATAATGGGTGAAAGAACAATATACAAGTTAGTTTTACGATAATAGTAAACGTCACATTTATAAATTACAAAAAAAAATCTAATTCTTAAATCTGTATTCTTTCTAGTATTGGCAAACATATTACAGCCATGGGTACATCTTTACTAAGTGCGGTTTTAAGGATTTCCAAAGCAAAATGGGCACATCGAACAATATAATCTGACACACAGTTTTTGTGTCGCCTCCTAAAATAACGGCAATATATATAGATCACTTCTCTGTCGTCTGGATGTCTATCTGTCCGACCGTCGCAAAACTTGTCTGGACTACCACTAAAAAAGCTGATGCAATTCAATCCAATCTTTACAGGAATGATCAGTACCAATTCCAGTTATGCATATTACTGGTATCTTCTGGTTCAAAAACTTTTGTCAGAGTTATGGCACTTGAACGATTTATAGCTTGACTATTCGAAAAATATGGAGAGCTATTGTAGTCGCCCCGGCGTCGGCGTCTGCGTTGGTTAAAGTTTTTTGTAAAGTCATATATCTCAATTATTGCTTGAGATATTCAATTGAAACTTACAATACTTATTTATAGTAACAATGTTCATCAAATTGACAAGTTGGATAACTCTGCCTACAATATTTACAGAATTATGCCCCTGTTTAACTAAGAAATTTTGATTAAAGTTTTTTGTAAAGTCGAATATCTCAATTATTGCTTGAGATATTCAATTGAAACTTACCATACTTATTTATAGTAACAAAGTACATCAGTTTGCAAAGAAGAATCACTCTGCAATATTTGCAGAATTATTTGCCCCTGTTTAACTTAGAAATTTTGATTAAAGTCTTATGTAAAGTCGAATACCTCAATTATTGCTTGAGATATTGAATTGAAATTTACGATACTTGTTTATAGTAACAAAGTACATCAGTTTGCAAAGTAGCATCCCCTTTGAAACTTGAAATTTTGGTTAAAGGTCTTCAAAGATATATACTTGAAACTTCACACATGTACTTAGGGTCATAATTGAAGGTAACATCTCAAGATTCATTACTGTGCCATGTATTTTGACTGAATTATGCTCCTTTTTGTACTAAAAAATCTCCCTTTCTTGGTTAAGTTTAACATGCAAGTTTTGCATATCTCTGAAAGTATTAAAGATACAAACTTGAAACTTCATATATATACTTGTGGTCATAAATAATGATCACTGAACAGCTCTCATATCTGTGTCATGTATTTAGGCTGATTTATCTCCTTTTTTTATTTAGTCTCTTGGTAAATGTTTACATGTAAGTTTTACATATCTCAATAACTATCAAAGATTTTGATTTTAAACTTCACATATGCATGAAGGGTCATAATTGTATGTCACTGACCAAGTTCCATAACCCTTTCTAGCATTTAGGCTGATTTATCTACCCTTTTCTACTTAGTCTCTTGGTTAATGTTTACATGCTAGTTTTACATATCTCAATAACTATTAAAGATGTTTATTTAAAACTTCACATATGCATTTAGGGTCATAATTGTAGATCACTGACCAAGATTCATAATTCTATCTTGCATTTAGGCTGATCTTTCTCCCCATTTTCAACTTAGAAATTCTTGGTAAAGTTTTGCTTGTAAGCTGTTACCTCCATAACTACTAAAGGTTTGTGCCCTTTTTGAAACAATTTTATGCATTCATAATAATAAAGCAGTTATTTACTTGATAAAACATCTTAATAACAAGCCTTTGTACCTTTCCGGTCAATTTTATATATACATAGGCAAGCATTATTATACTCAATAAAACACCCTTGTGACAACTTTTTTGAACAGTCGAGCCTTACTGTCCTCCGACAGTTCTTGTTATTTTCAATATTGCCCAAACTATTTCCCTTATTTCAGTAAAGCAATTTGAATGAAAATTTATAGGATTGACCGGTTGCTCAGGTACTGAAAATGCGCATATTACACAGGCATCAGGTTTTGGGCTGAGTTATGGCCCTTGAATAAAAAAGGCGTTTGGGCCTGTAAATGACTTTTTTGTGTTGCTTGCTACACAGTTGCTGATAAATGCTACAAAGAAGTCACGATTATAAGGATCACTAATTTGTCGTCTGTGCGTCACGTAACTTGTCTGGACTACTGGAAAGCTACTAGTGCATTTAAAACCAAACTTTACAGGAATGATCAGTACAATACCAAGTCTTGTTGTGTATATTTTCAGCATTTTCCAGTTCAATGATTTCTGTCAGAGTTATGGTTCGTTTTTTCCAGACTACTATTTTACTACTAATGCAATTTGAGTGGAACTTTATAGGATTGATCGATACCTTTAATACTTATGTGTTATTAATGGGTTGTCCAGTCGAATGATTATTGGCTGAGTTAAAGCCTTTAAAATAAGAGTTTTGGCCTGTTAATGATTTTCGTGTCTTCTTCTACATATGTAAGTAGATAAGTAGCCGGAACAATTTTGTCAATTATTGGCTATCACAGGTGACACATGTGAGATCACTGATAACTCTTGTTTTCAATTTAAATTTGCGAGTCCTGAATTTTAAGTGTTTGTGAAATTATCTGTATTATATTTATGACGAGTATTTTATATATGATAAAGTTACTGACGAATATATATATCAATTAACAAGAGTCAAGGTTAAGGTCACATCTGAATGATATAATATATTTGTTTGGTAGCAAGTCTTGTTTTGTCCAAGAATGAATCAAATCCGTGCATAAATAACAAAATATGACAGTTTAACTTAAATTCAATAATTAGACCTTGGTGGTCAAGGTCATTCGAATATCAAGGTCATTATTAGTACTAACCTTTTAGAAGGTCCAAAATATTGTTTTGTCAAAGTATGAAAATAATCCATTTAAAATTAACAAGTTAAACAAGTTACAGTCAATCATAGAATAAACTCGGTGAAAATACAACAATTTAACATTCAAGGTCAAGGTCAGAAAAGACCCAAGGTAAATTCGAGTTTGATATACATGAACGTCTTATCCAAAAGAATGTAGTGTTATAATATGAAGTCAATTCATTCAGTAATACCAAAATTATACCCTGATACATCAAAAAATATATGAAAGTTTCAATAATTTGACCTTCAAGGTCAATGTCATTTATGAGTGAAGGTCAAGGTCTCTCTGGTTACCTTAAAGGTCTTTCCTAAAATATTATTATGTTCAAGGTTGAAGATGATCCATCCAAAAATAACAAAGTTATAGCCACACCGATAAACAATGCCGATAAGCTGTGTCGAATATAGTATTAGTCATTTTATATTTTGAAGGATAGTGCAAGATGATGCTCCAATTCCAGAAGCTTTTCATGAAAATTCAAAAAAATGTATTAAAAAGTTAAATATTGTGAAATGAACAAGGAAATAATTCACAATTTGCAAATGGACTTACAATCCACGTAAATTACCAAGGAGAAGTCTAAATATGCAAAAATAGCGTTGGTCACGCAGTAGAAATATGGCAATAAATATTGCTAAATCAGTCATTAATCGCACGTAACGTGTAAATTATTACTTGAATATTGAATATTTTCTTAAAATCTTAGTTTATTTTTCTCATGTTTGATTTTCATGGAAAACTTTGGCCTATTTGTAGACATGCAGCTTTAACAGTTAACTTAATAAGAACCTTAGAATTCACAAGATATTTTGAAGTTTATTTTATTGATACGGAGCTTAAATACGTCAACAAGATACATTGACAATGAATCACGATTACCCAGTAGTTTAAAAACGGCGTTATTTGTATTGTTTTAGAATTAAATATTGCAAGGTCGATTTTACTCGCGTTCAGGACAGATAACCCTTTGGTTTTCCTTAGATATTCCTTTGCTATATTCGCAGTTCATGCAGGCACTGTTTATAGGTGTATTATACTTTGTATTTGTCGTACTATTAAGTTAAACCCTGCACAAACTATTTGTAATATAGAATCATTCATTTTGAACATACTGCACAAGACAGTTCCCTTCCGTTTACGTAAGGCGGACACGGAAGTGATCCACAACGTGCTTCGACAAAATAAAACAATCTTCCGTTCTTATCAGATGAGCCTTTGGGAAGAAATTCTGGTCCACTATCAAGGCAAAGAAATTCGCTTGCGTGATGTGTCTCGTGATCACTCACAAGATATCCGCTGTATTCTAATGTCCAACCATCATAGCAGACGTTCCTACCAGGTAGCATCAGAACATTTGATCGCTTTGTCGTACATACACAGCATGGCACATCGTGGTTATGCAGAGGTTTTCCAAAGAAATTATCCATGTTTCTTTGATGCAGTTCATACTCAACTCCCCATACAGTACCAGACGATTGCTCCGCATCTTCATACGCACCCCATAACGGTTTGTCAGGCAGACATAGATAATTAGACGCGCCTTTTTTGTCATAACGCGCACCACCGGCAAATCCTTTATAGACAAGCTCTGTTCCATTGGCAGGGCACTTTGTCCTTCCCCAACGAACATACGAACTTTCAGAGCTCCCACGGAAGCCTTTGACCTCTATCTTATGCAAATTGTCCTCCACTGCTTTAACTGCTTTTCTGTATTCAGCATTTTCATCTGCAGAAATCAAGAGAATGAAATTATCAAAAAATAGTTCTTTACTTTTTCTGTCAGTTTACTTATTTTTTTTTAATCGAAAAGGAAAGTACATGTATATCAAAGACAATTATATACAGTTTTCTACGGATTTTAAATTTTTAAATGGATTTTAAGCATCGTTTTCTTTTCATTTATGATTTTTGTTCCGTCTTTGAATCTAATAACAATGTTAATCATGAGGATTGTACAACCCACATTGTTAATAAGCACTAAGAGGTATTAAAAACGTGAAATAAAGCAAAAAAAGCATATTTTAAGTAAGGATATATTAATAAAATAACACCAGGGTATGTAATAGCTACAGATAGAGTTTGTCTTCAAAAGTGTCTTCTTACGTCTGCAAGAAGACAGTTTGCTAAGATAAACAACAAATTGTCCAAGACGAAGCCGAGCATAGAATTGTTTACTTGTCCTAGCGAACTGACTTCTTCACGTCTGTAAAAACACTTTTGAAGAAAATACACAAATGTTCCTAATCTAAAACCATAGAAAATATTAACATGGCCATTAGGCAGTGTTAAATATAGGCAAATCGCACGGAATTTTCGTGCACGTATTTCATCGGACAGTATCCGCCTTCATTTATTACACACATGTTAAAATGTTCAACACTGAAACCGACTGTGAACATGTATTGCGACAATGATTAATGGATAAAGTTTTGGACCTAAAATTTGGTAAGTTTCCTTATTCGCATGTTAAACGTATTGTAAAAGACCGTATCATATGTAATAGGCAAAAACTACATATGAGAAAATTATGATTGTCTGCAGCAGTTTAGTTTTAACATAATTATGGAATGAATCAATATAATTTAGATGATCAAATGATAAGAGAATTATAAAAGCTTTTCTGGAGCTTTTTGAACACACAACTCATTTGTATTCTTTTTGGCGGGGGTAATATGGCAAAGGGGAGGTGTAGGCAGATACAAATACTGAGGCTTTGATTCCGAAAATTGCTGTCCAACATATTAAATTCATATTCCGATGAACTGGATTCCTTCTCGTGTTGCGTAATCAAGTTCGCTCAAACTTTCCTTACGCTGCTATGTTGTCCTGATTGAGGCTGTTAAAATATGGTCTGTTAAGATTTAAGATGCAACATCGATCTTGTTTTTAGCTGACTATTCGAAGAATAGAAATAGCTAATTTGTTCACCCAGGCGTCAGTATCGGCGTCAGACGTCGGTTAAGTAATTGCATCTTCAAAACTACTGAAGGTACCACCGGGTTGAAACATCACACACTTATTGGATAGTTTAATAGTATAGGTAACTATCCAATAATCATTACTCAAAAATGTGGATTTCGACCAAACCATGTCCTTTTTTCATCTACATTAAATCTACATCAAACAGACTTTGAATTGGATTTTGCCATTCATGAAATGTGCATAAAACTTTGCAAAAGATTTTACTTCGTCTTCAGAAATCTAGCACATTCAAGGTAAATATTTTTTCTGTTATTGTTTCTATTTTTTGTTTATATTGGTCCTTAAAACATAGACCTGGAAGTGTTATTGCAAATTGTTCATCATTTTTCATTGTGAGCTTTGTTGTTATATGAATTCGGGACAACTTTCACATGGCTGACAATCCTGAATCATCTTAAATATTCTCTTTGGAAGAACATTTCATATTTCTATAGTAACTTGTTCTGTAAATAAGCTATAGCTTTCATAGGAAATATGCGAGAAATAAGGTTAAATTAATTGCGATTTATTACGTTTTTATACTCACTAGGATTTAAGAATTCAACGTTGAATTGCAATTGCTCTAAGAGTACAACGATAGAATGTAAAATCTCGCTACTTTATCTTTATAATACAAAAGGGCGACACAAGATTTTTATAACCAAAATTTTGCATGTGAATAGTTGTCTTTCAACTGGCTCAAGCTGGAGCCGCACATTTCAGACTTAAGAAGGCACTTTTTGAATAGCTCTGCTGTGGGTATAGTCGTATAATAGTGCATATTAGCAATCCGGGACCGATGTGGAGTTTTTTTTATTAATATTATACCGAACCAACATTTTAATGTATTTTTTCATCGCTGTGCATTGTTTCATAGCTTTTTTATGAGGGGAGAGAACTATAACAGTACGTTTTCTTAAGTCTTTACAGATTACCCGCCCCTTGAGAATATTGCCAAAAAATATTGAAAATATCGAAATAACACCATGTGACGTCACATTACGCTGTGCAGTAAAACGTTAATTTAAAGTATAATAAAAAAATAAAATTTACCTTTCAGAGTATTTATCAATGTATTCAGATCGTTGATGGATTCTTTCATTTTCTTTTGATCAATTTCCTGCAATACCATTTGATGTAACATCTTATGCTCATAGTCAAATCTTGATGTACATATTGGTTCTTTGAGTCCATTATCCATTGCAATGAAATGTCCATTCAATATCAAGTACAATAAACAGGTTAATAATAGAACAGACATTTTGCCTATGACCATACCGTCCATGAAACCTTACATACGTCACAAAATGATTTAGTCTGTAAATTAAAAGATAACGTCTTATGATTATAATAATTCATGAGTCAGAAACTTTTTACCGGATTTGGAATCAATTGTGTTTGAAGCGTTAAGAAAAATGAATACAATGCAAATGACCTTTGGTTATTTCACAAGTCCGACTCTAAGTCATAATCAAGAACAGCAAAGTACATATTTCCTTTTAGGCCATTGTCAATTTGTAGTAATAATAAAATCTATGTATTTTTGACTTTTCATGGACATTTTATACAGTTTATATGACATAGAAATCGTATGATTTGTTGGTGATATTCAAGAATGATTATTAGAATATCCCACAATATAAAATTGGGAACAAAGACGATATTGAACAAAAAAAATAATAGAAATTTTAGATATCAAATATATGATATCTCTGATAAAATATAAATACACGTTAAGGCATAACTACAGAAGCTGTTATTGTAAAATATTGCAAGTTTAAGGGTTGGGTGTGAAACTAACATCAAGATGCAGTGTACGTACAATAAGTCAGTTAAAATGTTAAACATGTTAAAGGAAGATTAAGATTTGCAAAGGATATTTAAGAAATATACTCAGAAATTCGTATTTTTGTGCTATTGTTAGCCCGATTTAAGTGAAAAGTGCTACAACGAATTGAATTCTGGGTAATTTTTCACATTAGAATAATTATTTATTTCGAAAAATTATATCCAGTCCCAACATAAATCAAAGCACAGAAGGCGCTGAATTTGTTTGGGTCTCAGAATAGGTTGTGAGATTATAAAACAATTTGTTTTTGTATAGTGTCACCAATGCTTTCCAGTGTTTTAACTGTAATAAATTGGCTATAATACTAATTGCAACACTGATAGTCAACTCAATGTTTATTTGACTTAAAAAAATGAGATGCGTCAACTGGGATTTGAACTCCAGACCTCTTGTTTCATAAGCGAGCGTGCAAACCCCTCGGCCACCGTGAAGTTATATGATAACGGCTTGAAGAAAACCTTATTATTCTAAATTAGGGTTTGTAGCTTATTATTTCGACGCTAAACCTGTTGTTTTTAACACAGATGTAAATAATCATGGAGCTTACTGTAAGCATATTGTTACGAAAACCTTCTCTTTATGAAAAGTTTTGTTTATTCACTCTTTTCGCTTAAAAGTAAACCATTTCTCTATGCTGGTATAATGAACAAGTCAAGTCCAAGTGAAAGCAGGATTATATTTTTTGCAGTAAATCAAAATAATGCATCATTTTATTTTCTATCAACAGTCAAAACCAAAGTAAAATTCTTAACAACTTCAACAAATACATTTCTTCAATTTCTAACTCAAAAACTAGCCAACTCAACTCAACCAACTCCAACTCAAAAACCCCAACTCACTACAAAACTCCTCAAAAACCCAGCTAGAAAAGTTCCCAGCTTATATAACCTTCTGTTTGCGCAGCTAGGGTGGTGTGCAAAAGTAGATTGTCGCGCGACCCACTTGCGCTAACCAGTTTGGCACACAACTCATTGCGCGACCTGAATGTTGCGCAACCTATTAAAAGTGCTGACAATGCCTTAACAATGTTCAAAATGGCCTGCAACTGGTTCAGGTATACAGACTGTTGTAAAATACAAACATAAGTACAAAAATACATAATAGTTATATAAATTTACATGTTAACACTCAATAGCATAATTATTATCTGTCCAATAATGCAACTTAATACATGTAATAGTGCAAAATACACTTGTATTAATAAAGATATATGTACTATATATGGCTTATAAGACCAATACACTTACTACTGATTGACAATTCTATAAACTTATAATACTGACTGATAATTCATTAAACAACAGAAATATAATCTCTCCAGCTTTACAACATACAGCTCAACATTTGAACCAAGTAACCTGTACATAGATAAAGCAGTAAGGAATCCCATTCATAAAATCTGATATGACCAAATTATGCTTTGTTAACATCAATTGAGAGTCTCTTATTGCGCGACCTCTCCATATTTGGAACTAGCATGCCTGGGAAAGCTGATTCTGCGCGACCTTTCCTATTGCGCGACCTTAAGTGTCGCGCGACCTTTGGCTGCACGACCTTTCCAAATTTGGAATGAGGTATGCTCATAATCTAAAAATAACTGAGCTGTGCCAATGTCCTGGACTGTTAATGACTCAATTGTTTTACAACAAAAAATGAGTAAAAGTTAACATAAACATTTTAACCAGCTTAGAAATGTTGTCCAGATATACCATCCTAAAAGAATACTCTTCTAGTAAAAGACTAGTTTCAAATTTCATAACAATATATATCATTAAAGAATATAACAATATTAGAAATCTTCGACCATTCGGGAACTACTTTGCTTGAAAATTAATGCGCCTCTCATTTGACAATCTTTACGCATTGATCTCCCTGAATTTTTCGGCGTTAGTGTACATATAAAGGGAAGTAACCGCTTCAAAAAAGTGGACTACTTTAGGCATTTGCAATTAACAGCATTAGGCTCTGAAATTTCGCTACCATTATTTGTTTGGTCTGAACGACCCAAACAAATAAAAAACCTAAAGTGGTGTCCCTTTAACAAGAGGAATTTTACGTATCAAAGTAGTATTTAACCAGATTGCTTCCCCCTTGAAAAACGTATATTCATTAAACAGTAAGCAGACGATTAAATAAGCAGACGGCAATTTTTTTCCCAGTTCGGGCAAACAAATATGACTTTGTGTTGCCCGTAAATGAATCAGAAGACCACCTCTTAGTACTTTTTCATTCCCCGCAAAGTATTACAATTATTAACGTAAACTGGTGTATGAGACAGTTTTATCAAAGAAGTTTGCAGTAAGTTTAAACCGACTATTTCTTATTTTCTTCTTTCATAAATTTAATCTAAACATATGGTTAAAGTATGATTACATTTAACAATACTTTACATAATTATAAATGATGTTTGATTGTATTTGTGACATGTAAACGAGCGACTTGCGTACATAGTTATTTTATATAATATATATATTATATATATATATTTTATAAAATACATCAGTGAATAATTCAAGTACAAAAAAAGAAAGAAGAAAGAAATTGCATAATTTATTGAAAAACAAAAAAAAAAAAAAAAAACAACAAAAAAAAACAAACAAAAAACATTTTGATGGCCCCAGCGAATATCATCATGAAACCTTATGTATCTGATAAAAACTAAGCGAATGCATCTTGCCTTTAATTGCAATATTTAAACAAATCATAAAGGTTTAATAACTCTGTAGGATTTATTTGTCAAATATTCAGTTCTGAATTCCCTTTGTATGAAAAAGCTTGATGCTGATTTTGTATTGAGTGACACAGGCGCTGTTTAAAATGACAAAAAACAACAACAAAATAACAACAACAACAACAACAACAATAAAAAAACAAAACAAAAAAAAAAAAAACAAAAACGCGTAACACTTGAAATGAATGCGTTGGATTTTGAAATATTTTCTTCTTTTTTTTTTTAATTCCAATTATGCCTCAGCAGTGCTATGATTTTTATTTTTCAAAACTCCTTTTTGGTAGCTAGTTACAGTTTCCAAAAATACTCATTTGTCATAGACTAGATCTATCTTTGGTTGCTTTTGCTCTGTTGGCAATTGGTTTTATTACAGTGAATAAGTATTTTGTATGGAAGTCAAAATAATATTTTGTTTACATTTCGCTACATTTATAGAAAATACCTTTATATAATATAGATTTCTGAGCCATAATGTGCCTTTAACGTTTTGAATATGTATAAAAACGGAAAACTAAATATGTACAAAATGTAAATATGATATTCTACACAGTGTTTGAAAAAAACAACTGAACAAATAAATCGGTTCTCTTGAACGAATTCCACCATTTCCTTGCAGTATAAACACTTTTTTTTCGAAAATCAACTTATTACAGTCGCGTTATTAGTTTTTTTGTAAACACTTAGAAAGACCTTGTCGTTTATTTAATTCGACACTTAGAATAAATAATTGCAATATCCTTCTCGTAATTGACATTGACATGGCCGTAACACTTACAATAATTTTCCGGTGCCACTTCGTATCAATTAATCACTTTATATATTCACATGAAACGACACATTTCTCTTTGAGATTGTTATTAAAGATCATGGTTCAAGGCTGTAATTATATTAGCAGGGACATTTTAAAGGCCCATTATGCCTCAGAAATGCTTTTATTTTTATTTCTCAAAAGCTTTTAATTTTGTTTACCTTATAGTATGCAAAAGGTAACTCATTGGATATTAACAGGAACTGTTGCTTTTTGGCAATAAGTGCAGATATAGTGAAATAGTATTTTGTATGGAAATATAAATACTACTTTTAACTTTTTTAATGACAAATTATTTCACATTTACTGCTATTTTCTTGAGGTTAGAAGAATCTAACATTATGTAAAACTATTATTTAAACATTATATAACTCTCATTTGCCCTTTCTTAAGAAGATTTTTTTTTATCTTATTCTGAGGTATAATGTGCCTTTAAATAAAAATTCTTCACCCTAATTATCTCACATTGTTTTCAAATTTTCTAAAAAAATAAATAGCTTTTCTGATGTACAACATGTCACAGAGCTTTAATGGATTAAAATAAACGTTTAACTGAAGTGATAGTGCCATGTTTGAATATCATATTCTTTTCAATAAGTATCTAATTTTATCTACCTAATAAATAACGTACCAATGAGCAGTCTATAAAACTTAACCGTTGAGAGAGTTATAATGACATTTCAGTTTCCAATTATGGTTCCCCTGGCATATCTTGATGATTTATATCTATCAATTTATTTATATTTTTAACTATTTATTATTATTTGATATTACAGACAATTTTTTGCTATTTGTTAAATAACAGACAGTTCGTCCTCAAAGTCATTCGAACATTTAACAATTCGCACCAATATTAAATATTATGTTCTCGGCACATATTGTCTTGAACTTATTTTAAGTTTACCAATCATTTTAATTTTACTTGTTATCCAATTTATTTTGCTTCGACAAGACGTTTCAATCATTGTCGCAACAGACAAACATTTCAGAATTTCAGACAAATACCATGATAACAAGAACATGGAGAAAAAAATTATTAGTGCTTCGGATATTCAACTGTTATAGAGAACGATTTTCAATTCTGATTTTGTACATCACCTGTGACTGTTTACATCATTTGGCGGCGTCTTTGATGTGCAGCATCAACATTTAACTTGTTCAATTACTTCGTTGCTTTGTACTAACAACCACTGGTAATTTTCGAAAGCATTTTCCATGTGACAGCTCTTGTTGTGGTTAATTAACAAAGTTATGCAATAATGCAATTTGTTTCTCGCTGTCAATGTGAGTTGAATTAGTAATAAATTTCTAAAGATTGGCAAACACTACCTTAATTATTATAAAAAAACTGTCCCACTCTTTTTTAAGAATTGAGATTTACCGATTCAGTCTGAACGATATTAATAGAAAAATCCAAGTTGATCACTGGTCACTTTGATCATTGGTCACGTTGATCATTGGTCACGTTGATCATTGGTCACGTTGATCATTGGTCACATAGATCATTGGTCACGTAGATCATTGGTTACATAGATCATTGGTCACGTAGATCATTGGTCACGTTGATCATTGATCATGTTGAAAATTGGTCATGTTGAAAATTGGTCATGTTGATTATTTGTCACATAAATCATTGGTCACGTTGATTATTGGTCACATTTATCATTGGTCAAGTTGATCATTGGTCACGTTGATCATTGGTCACGTTGAACATTGGTCGTGTTGATCATTTGTAACACTGATCATTGGTCACATTGATAATTGGTCACGTTGGTCATTGGTAACACTGATCATTGGTAGCGTTGATCACATAGTAATATATATATAAAACGTCAATTATGTCAAAATTAAAATTTTTCTTATATTTTTTCTTGTTCACTGAACACTTGGATGGGCATAATGTCATTTTAAATATTATTACAATATCTATGTTTCCATAGCTTAGTTGTTCTTTAAAATGCACATGGCTCCGTGTTCACTAAGATTTAGTATCAAAATCGTACTAATTAACTCAAATATTCTGCATTGTTTATCACTTACATGCATGTTACTCCGTACATGTTGTTGTTTTATCACTATCTGGGGCAAATTTCTTAAATCCTTAAAACCATTGGAAGTAGATTGCAGATATACGTCACAATTTATGTACGGCATTTTTTAAAGTAAGGGAATTTTAGCAAAATAACTGTCATGTTTGAAGGTATTGTTTTTGTGGCAAATCATAATATTTCCTGTATTATTTGATATTTTGGAAAAGATCAGATTATTTTTGACTTAACACTTTATAAATTGATATTAATCTGACAAAGATAACATTGCCATTACTTTCGTACATACTGGCGGACCATCCCATCATGTTATGCTTTCCAATTTTTAAGGAGTTAATTCAATACAGTGTTGGAGCAATACCTCTAGACGCTTGCAGAAACATGATCACAAAGAAATCGGATCAACTCGGCTATCATTCCTAATCAGGAAACTGACGGAAAGGGATTGGATGACTTTTAAGAAAAAAATATTGCATTTTCGCCGATTCTTACATTTTTCATTTTCATTCATGATCGTATATAAATCTATGGTGGAATAGACAATTGCAGTATTTTTTTCTCGTGGCCACGACTTATTATCTTGTGGCCGCAACTTATTATCTTGAGGCCTCAAGATATTATCTTGTGTCCTCGACTTATTATACTGTGGCATCAATATATCATCTCGTTGCCACGACCCATTATCTCGTGGCAACAAGTTCTTGTGTGTAAATCAGTGTGAACAGATGAATTAGACGTCTTTAAGTGCAATTCGACGGGTCAAAAGAAGAGATGTCAGCATTAATTATTCAACCGCCTTGTCCAAAATATACTGGAATAGGGTATTTATTGTGTTGTTTCTCACTCTTTTAGATGCAGAAAAAAATCAAGGCATAGCAGTCGTATGACTTCGATGATCAGTGTAGTACTATTTGACTGGGACAAAAACAAATGGCTATGAATGCAAATGACTGGCGTATGAACTTGACTTGTTAGTTATAACTGTCAAGACTAAACCGGAATACGATTTCGTTTGATTTTCTTTTGTCGCACTGTTAGACTGGGACTGTTTGCTTCAGCCAGACAAGGAAAAAATGTAATCAAACAACAACAACAATAATAACAACAACAGCAAAGAAATCAAAATTAAAACAACAACAAACGGTCGACATAATATAAATGTATAAATAATCTCAAGTAGATACATGCAAGTGTTGTAATGTACAAAAACAAAGCAATTTGATGATTCCTACTCATATTTTTAGTTATAATTATATTCAGTTTTTAGCAATGAGAAGAAACATTGTTATAGAAACAATACAAACTCATTCGCTTTATTTATTTATTTTTTTTTCATTTTTCAAGGAATGAATTTAAGATTCAAATGTTATAAGGTCATTGTCTGATCAAGTTTGGCTGAATTGGAATAAGAATTATCCAATTTTGCCAAATTTACAGAATTCGAGGCGATATGTTATGGAAAATATACACGAGAAAAAAGTGATGCACAAAAGGACATTATTGCAATAGAAAAAGTCTGTATATAGAAGTTTTATGTACATAAAGAAAATAGTCATATAAAAAATAATTAGACAACAAAAAGTAAACAACATAATAATGAAGCTATTACACATGAGAAAAATTAAATAGGAATAAGAAAATATTTTTCCCCAATCTTTTTTCTTACGACACATACTATAGGGAAATATAGTTTTCCGTTTTCAGACCAAAACATCTTTTGAGAAATAACTATTCCCGTAGCCTCAACTTTATTTCGTCAAAGTAAATAAAGAAATAAAGAGCTAATGTGACTTTAAAGAAATGAATCAAGCGGTGAATTTGCTACATAAAAAATGATCTTCAAAGTCACGTGGCATGGGCACACTGTAATAGTGTACAAATCTAACTAGACAAGACGAATACAAAATATAGAAACTATTTACAAATGAATGAAATGATAGTAAAAAACAAAGTTTTCTACAGAAAAATAGACGACGATTTAATATTGAATCTACATGCACATAAAGAATATGAAAACGTAAAAAGTAATATAATAAAGCAGAATAAAACATTAATCAAAAGCTATTGCCATATGGATAAAAATAAAATGTAGATCTGAATAGGAATAAAAAAGGCTTAAAATAGAAGCAAAAATGTTGTAAACCTCATACCAAATAAAAATATAAATGCGTGCATATTAATTAGAATAATTCGAAGCTTTTATTAGATCTGAGCAATGTTTGACTTGACACTTAAAACCAAAATTTAATCTCATTTAAAATTGTTGTAGAAAACTAAAAAAGATTACATGTATTGTTTCGAAATGTGGCAATAAAAACAATTCATTTAAGATATAATATTGGTCTGAGCGGTGTTTATCGTCTATTTAACAACGTACGAAGCCGTAGGCGTTATAATACCGGTAGTGCATTGCTAATTTGGCCTGATACGAGCTAATAATGTAGAAAAAATGTAATAAAACAATGCATTTTTGTTTGCATCATTTGCATGGCTTAGTTATAAGTAATCTGGTTCGTAAAAAACACTGGTTCAGTTGTAACAATAAACACCAACATCCTCCGAATGTTTACAATCGGACGTGTCATAGTCAATTTTACAATGAAACAAAGTCCTTTCATATCCTTTACATTGTACTTCATCAAATAATATAGTACCAGAACCTTCCCCATAATATGCTTTATGTCTGAAAGTACCACGTTTAAAGCCCAGTGCCTTGCAGGCTACCGTAGCTTCATTTGTACCAAAATTATCATCACATACTGTTCCCCAAGCGCCCTTAATGAATACTTCGAGTCTACCAGAAGAAGACGATCCACCAACTAACCTTATAGTGTTAAAATCACCAGATGCGTTCATCAAATTTATAATCTGTTCTGAGTTTTGTACCGCCGCAGAACAAGTATTTAACACGTCTTTACCAGATGTAGACATTTTTTGTTCAGTCCTGATGATTTCAAGACTCGAAGTGAATTTTTCATTGAAATTCTTATTCACTGTCGATAAAGTGTCTAGTTTGCGTGTGTTTAAATCTTCACGGTCTTTAATATCAGTTACATTATTTGAAATAAACTCAAGTGTGTCTTTAAATTTCATAACGTATTCTAAACTGTCTTGAAAACCCTTTATATTACTCCCAATATCCTCTTTTATGAACGACATCATTGTATTCACAGCAATGCTTGTTTCATTTACTTTGTCTGCTATTTCATTTGATTGCATTTGGATGTTTTCGATTCTGTTGTGAAGACCTTTTACTTCATTACCCAAATTTTCTTTCCAAGAATGAAAGAACAGTTTTTGGTCCTTGAAACCTCTTTTGAGCCTCCTGAATTGTGACTCTAAATGTGTTACTTTTGAGTCAGACTCTTCCTCCTTACTGGCCGGAGTAGATGTTTGTCCTGGAGTAGGTGGATGTGATATTTGTGAAAGAGATGCATTGATAATCATACTAAGTCGTTGCAATTCCTCAAAGTTTCTATCGGCAGATTCTCTAAGCATACCTATATCCTGTGGACAAAATATTTGTACACTGTTTTAATAAAGTGGTAAATACATTGACTAATTATGTTGCCAACATCTCAAGTCAAATTTAAAGGCACATTATGCCTCAGAAATTCATATGTTTTTTTTAAATATTAAAATTTAGATATGTCCAACATGTGATTAATAATGTTTTATTTATGAATTTAGAGCACGTTAGATTTTAACAACTGATGAAAGTAGCACTGAACGTGCAGTGATGTGTCGAAAAGAGCAAAATGTGAACAAAGCAGTATTTTGACTTCAGTACAAAATACTAAAGCACTATGATTATAACAACTGACAACATACATAAAAGTGTGTTCATCTATATGGCCATTTTTTGTGGAAAATGTTACAAGATACAAAAAAAATAAAAAAATAAAAAAATGATTTTTGAGGCATTATGTGCCTTTAAATGAGGCATTATTGTATTTTTATCAAATGCAATAGACTTCTGAAAAAAAAAGTGAAAATAATTTCTCAAACTGTGATATATGTTTCGAATATACGAACAAAAAGGCATAACAAAGAAAGTTCATTTTCATATCAACTTAAATTTTTGAAATTTAAAATTTATATGTTTTATGTCGTTGATTCTGCTAAGGTGCTCGTTCGCGCCTAAAATAATGCACGGATGGGCGCCTTAGACCTCACCAATAAAGCTGGAACGTCGCAATATGACCTATGCTGTGTCGGTGTAACGTAAAATCCAATTAAAACAAACAAAACATTGTCATCTTACCTGATAGGTCATTTTTTGCATTGCAAACATTTTGCTCTCTAACTGCCTCAAACGATCGCAATGCACAAACAATATGCTAAGGAACAGGATGCCTGCTTTGACGGCAATCATGTTACTACAACAAATTTGGCCACCTGAAAACAGGACAATACTTCACTTGTTATTATCATTTTTACCTTATTGTCATAATATTTAGTGAATTATAAGAGAAATAAATAATTGATAAATCAATCGGGTTTTAACTACGTTAAATATCTGAATATCATTTATGCTCTTTATAGAAAATGATACGCTGGGTTTCACATTCCAAAAAAACCCAAATATGTTTTTCTTTTTGAAAAATTGATAAAATTTTGAAAAAATTATTAGAATATATTCTTATCCAAAATATTTTTATGAGAAACCAAAGATTATCCATTGCACATATATAATAAAATTACATTTACCTTCGTTTATATTCAATAAATCAATTTCTATATCTATATTCGAATTTCAAACATTTGCACACGAGAACTTAACTTTCAAAATAGATCCGATGCTTTGCCGGCTGGTCTTAAGTATTTTGTTAACAACTTTGTGAACTTGAAATATGACGTTTTTTACGTTTCAGTTTATATAATTATGTCTCGTTAATACTTGTAGCACTTACAGTTTCTAAATTTATACATATTAATTGGCCATAATGACCATTATATGAAAGAAAATGTAACAGAATTAGGAGTTCCGCTCTGTGACATATCTCGATTTAATGATGGTAATTCAGATGTAAGTCTCCATTTAAAAGTGTCAGACAAAAACATTTTGTTAAGATAAGCAAAACCTGACTTTGCTCAAACAATGTGATTAGACAATAGAAAGTGTAATCTTAAACTCGCAGACATTAGTATCGACGAAACGATTGAGATTATGTTAATATTATTTTAATTGATTTGAGCTCTTAATATTGTACTAAATGTCTAAATATGCCTTCTTTGTTTACTATATTTCATATACACATATCTTTTATACACTTTTTAAAATTTCAAGTTCATTTAAAAATGACATATTGACAAAATGATAACACAAACATGAATATTATACATGCCTCCAGATGAGTCAAAATATTTAAATAAAATCAAACTTGAGAAAAATGTACTAAGACTTAAGGAATGGTAAAACGTTTCAAGATTACATATTATATGCGATTAATGACTGATTTTTCAGTATTTAAAACTATATTTCTACTGCGTTACTAACGCAGTGAAAGCTATTCATGCATATTTTGACCACGTTTTGATAATTTACGTTGTTTTGTCATTGATAATGTGTTAATTGCTTCCTTTTGATAACTTCACAATAGTACACATTCAAATACATTTTCAAAATGTTCATGAAAATTTGGATGAATCTGGAGGCGTGCTGATTTAAAGGGTAACTCAAATTAAGTCGTTTTATTTGATCCTTTGTTATCATACAAAAAACTTACTTTATCTTAATATCGAATTTAAGGCGCTCAAAACAATGTACTGTAAGTATTTTTTGTTTGTTGAAAATTTATGCCATTCTCAATAGAAATAATGTTCTTTTTCTTTCTAGAGTATACACACTTTTTGACATTATAAACAAACACTTTCCGTAAAGAATGTTCATTCTTTTGAAATATATCTGGTGTTTTGTCCATATGGACCCTTGTTGCAAGCAACCATTGTTGAGATCCACTTGACAATGCTACTTGCCAAATATCTTATGTATAGGCCTTGTAAATACCATTCAAGAAGATTTCAATGTGTTTTCTTTTTTGAAAGCTGTCTGTGATACACAGGCTTAATTACATCGGATCCTTTTTCAACAAGGAATTTCAATAAGTTCCGACATTGTTTTTTCATTTAGGGCTCTTTTATTCTTCTACTGAGGAATCAACCAATAACTCTATCTGTTATAAAACCGAGATAGGTCACTGAATGGTACACCCAAATTTGTTTCATTTTCCGTTTTATAATGGTCTTTGTGCCAATTATCAGTAAGTAAAGCTGTAGAAACCGCAAGTGCTGTAAGTATTACCGAGCCATAATTATACAACCAACGGCAATAATTAAATGATTAGTTTCAAGGTTACAAAGTTGTTTATCAATTCTATGTGCAAAACATCTAGAATTTGGATAAAATTTAGCTCAAGTGTACGTTTTCTGTGTAAAGATAAGATTTATTTTAACATTTATTAAGAAGTTTATGTAAATATAATTTCAGATTTTTGCAACTAATTACTTTTTGTTTAACATGGTAACAAATTCTTGATAAAAGTTATATAATCTGACATTTTAAAATTATGTTATCAATATTTAAAAATATAATTTGGTTTTTGATATGATACTTAAAAACCAATCTTTATAAATAATAAATGAAATTCAGATAATAAATTAAGAAAGATAAAATCCGCTTTGTTAATGAGTTTTCTTAACCATAGTAAAACATGTATATGATAATAATAATAATATAATAAATAACATGTATATCCTTAAATGTGAGACCGCCTCCGTGATCAAGGGGTTAGAGTCGATGACTTCTAATTCAGTTAACTCTCTGGCGTGGGTTCGATCCCCGGGAGATGCTTTGGTAGTTTAGCACGGAAGAAGGTAGTCTAGTACTGGTGTAACTCTCCAGGAACGATGGTTAGGAAACTACCCGCCTATATGACTGAAATACTGTTGGGAAAAGGCGTAAAATGAAACAAACAAAGAAAACCTTAAATGTAATGAAAATAATTATTATATAAGTAATAATAGTTGTCGTAGTTTCAGGTGACCAAATTTGTTGTAGTAACATGAGGGTCGTCAAAGCAGGCATCCTGTTCATTTGCATATTGTTTGTGCATTGCGATCGTTTAAGGAAATTAGAGCGTAAAATGCTTTCAATGCAAACAATGACCTATCAGGTAAGAAACGCATCTTATGTATCATAACCTATGTTTGTATTAATAAGTTGATATGGAAAATTAACTAACAAACGTTCTATAGTGTGCATTCTGGGTAGTGTCGTTAGGACAATTTTGGCATATATGAATGTCATATTTAAGATTAGTTCAACGCATTTGATATGAAAGAAACCATAACTCATCATATGTTTTACTTGAGATTTTTATCAGATTATTATTCATGGTATTGATCTTTTTGATAGATTCATATGAGCCAGTTTAGCACTTTATCTATATTCTTATTATGTTCACAGGATATAAGTATGCTTAGAGAGTCTGTTGATAGGAACTTTGAGGAATTGGAACGAATTAGTATGATAATTAATGCGTCCCTTTTGCAAACAGCACATCTACCTACTCCAGTACAAACATCTGCTCCTGACAGTAAGGAGGAAGAACCAGAATCAGATGGAACAGAATTGGAGTCAGAAGTCAAAAGACTTAAACGGGGCTTCAAAGATCAAAAAATGTTCTTTCATTCTTGGAAAGAGGATTTGGGTAATGAGGTAAAAGGTCTTCACAAAAGAATCGAAAAGCATTCAAATGAAATAGCTGACAAAGTTAATGAAACAAGCAATGTTGTGAATGCAGTGATGTCGTTCACAAAAGATACTTTGGAAGACGTTATTAGTGTCAAAGAAATACTTAAGATAATTTCAGAAAATGTAACTGCTCTCAAAGATCGTGAATTGGTGAACACACTCAAACTAGGTGCTCTATCGGATGTAAATAAAAATTTCAGTGAAAGCATTATCTCGAGTCTTAGCAACATAAAAAATGAGCAGAAGAAGTCTAGTTCAGACAAAGAAGTGTTTAAAACTTGTTCTGCGGCAGTACACAACTCGGAGAAAATAATTAATCTATTGTCATCATCGGGGGAGTTTAAGGACGTACGGTTAGTTGGCGGATCGGCTTCTTCTGGTAGACTCGAAGTCTTCCTTCATGGGAAATGGGGGACAGTATGCGATGATGAATTTGGAACAAGTGAAGCTGAGGTTGCCTGCAGGACACTGGGCTTTAATGGCGGAGGCGTTCCCAGACAAAGTGCATATTATGGAGAAGGAACTGGCCCAATTTTATTTGATAACGTTAAATGTAACCGGAAAGAAAAGAATTTGTTTAATTGTGAAATTGATTATGACACATCCGATTGCGGACATAGCGAGGATGTTGGTGTCGAATGTAGGGACTGATCATTTGTTTGTAATGAAAAAATGTGTTTTTTTTTTAAAACAAATCCATACACATAATGTTTTTACATACTTCTAATATAGGGTTTCTTTATGTAAACATACTATGCTTTGCGTCAATATTTAAAGATATCTTCTCTATTGGTGTTGACCAAACAGTCACATAAAATAATTTAAGCCTTTAAATGACATACCATACAGTTCATAGAAAGTTAGTACACTATTTTTAACATTTTATCAGTGACCGAGTGTCTATGTACGATTAGAACTTAGCTTGAGATGTCCTTAATGTTTTCCTTCGGAGAAAAAAATTTATAAAAGGAATGAATGCATATACGCAAGTAACACTCCGAGATTGACATTGTGATGGAGTTCTTAGAAAGTTGAAACAAACTTGTTTCAATAGAAATAATAAAAATACTCTTGACTATTAATTAAAATGGACTTGACTGAGTATTGAAATGGACCACGTGAAAGTATCTATGGTTATTGTTGCCAAACGTTTAGTGTTGGGGTTGAATTCGGCTTAAGCCGGTGCTAGGGGACAAAATGGATCTGCAATTGTCAACTACTTGTCTTTTTCAAGATTTTTAAGTTTGGCTCCTATGCTCATCGATGCAAGCGATTATTTTAATACTAAAAGGAACTGCATCGGATCTTTTTGTCTTAAAAGTGAATTTCTGATAAAATGTCATTATAATGCATATATTGTGAGAATACTATAGAACCGTTTAAGAAATGTGTGTAAAAATAAGCGCTTGTGTTAATAAATAACAATATAAACTGCGCATAGATAATCAAATATCGTTAAGTTTGAAATGTTTTGTTGGTAAAGTAACTCAAATGCTTTCAAACAGTTCATTAACTAGTGAGAAAAATGATATTTAGGTAACAAAATATTCTGGTTACTTTATTTTGATATTTTACAAAACACATCAATAGTGTACATTTTTAAATTAACGCAAATATGAGCTCATATGTACTTTCAAATTGAAAATTCAAAACAATATTTCAGCCATTATAAATAGTTTACTTCCAGTGCGGAAGCATTTAATTTTTACTTCTATTCTTGACAAAGATCCTTTTGTAAATATATACTTTAAATGACCGAGATTTTTTCCCCTTAAAGTTATGAGTAAAACCTTCACTCGAAACTTTTTTAGTTGTTTAACCTAAAGCTTGCTGTAAGCTACAGAATCTAGCAATACAATTAGTGCAGACCAAGATCAGCCAACATATCTATGCAGGCTGCACTTTTCACTATTCAGACAGCGCTTATTTTTAAAATTTCCCAAAAACTAATGATGAATGGTTTTGTCCGGATTATAAGATAGACATGTCCATTTAAGATAAGGGATAATATATTATTTTCACGCTTATTTCCACAGCCAAGTTTTCTCACAATTAAGATAATGATTAAAATATATTATTTTTACGCTTATTTTCACAGCCAAATTTTTTCACAATTTAGATAATGGTTGACATATTATTTTTACACTTATTTTTACAGCTTATGTTTTCTTTATGTGTAAATGTAGCTATTAGATTAAGTCATTTCATATGTGCATATAGAATTTATACAACAACCATTTTCTAGAAAACATAGTTTTTGAATAAAGTTATCATATACTTACAAATATATTTCTCTGTATATATATATACAAAGAAAAAACACACGAAAAATCGAGCCAATTATTTTTTATCTTCGTGGTGCATATTTCTTATATATACAGCTAGATAATGCTTTGGCATGGAACACTGATATCAGTTCTAATGATATCACCTCATCTTTTGTGAACTCTGAAAGACCAAATATTCATTTATTTAAATTGAATACAATTTGCCCGGCAATGGCTTTATGACATTAAACGCATTTGTCGTTTTTTGTATTTCTGACAATGTGTGTCAGAATATTAGATTCATGGTTTTGAATGAAAATCCATAGCAAGTGAACAATGTCAACGTAACTAAATCTATCCCATTGTATGAATGGCAATCGGTAAAATGAAAGGAATGCTCAAAATAAAGTACTTGAGTGACTATCGTTTTTATATCAGACTTTCTCTTCATTGCTAGAGACTGAATAAATAGGAAAATACAGTGTATTTTATAAATCAGCATCATGCTCTTTTTGCAAAGACTGGATTTTCTACCAGAATATATTAAAAACATTCATTTGTTCCTTGCTATGGACTGAAGAAATAGGAAAATATTTTAACAATCAGTATCATGTACTTTTTGTAAAGACTGCATTGTCTACTAGAACATATTAAAAATGTACACCGTTGTTCGTTTGTCATGTTCTTTTTTAGTTATTTTTCTCTTGATTTTTGCTGTTGTTGTTAATCCCCTTCCGCGTAAAGGGGATTATAAGAATGGCCTCCGTCTATCAGTCCGTCCGTATGTCAGTCTGTCCTTCTTCCGTCCGTAAACCTTTTCATGTCCGCTCCATAACTTTTAAACCGCTGAATTTTTTTTGAAATTACTTGGCAAAAGTGATCACCATAATTGGACGATGTGCCGAGTGCTCCCCCAGGTTAAGGTCACACTTAAAGGTCAAATGTTTAAAAGTCTTCATTTCATAATAAAAAGTCTACATGTAGTGTCCGCTCCATAACTTTTTAACCGCTAATTTTTTTAAATAACTTGGCACAATTGATCACAATTATAAGAACATGTGCAGAAAGCAAAAATTAGGTTGCTAACTCCAAGGTCAAGGTCGCAATTAAAGGTCAAATGTATAAAAGTCTACAAATCGTGTCACCTCCATAACTTTAAAAACTATGATTTTTTTTGAAATAGCTTGGCACAAGTGATCACTATTATAAGTGCAATAATTGAATTGCTACCATAGGTCAAGGTCACACTTACAGGTCAAATGTTAGACATTTCTTGTCTGTCCAAAACATTTAAACCGCTGCAATGTTTTTGAGACAACTTGGCTGAAATGATCACCTTTATGAGACCATTGGCAGAGCACAATAACCAAGTAACAATCCTAAAGGTCAGTGTCACACTCCAAGGTCAAATATAAAAACATCTATTTTTCATGTCCACTTACTGACAAATTACCTGGCACAAATTATCCCAACCATGACACAATCTGCAGAGCTCAACATCCAGGTTGCTACCCCAAGGTCATCGTTATATGGTCTCCATAACGTTTTGACTTTATGGAAGATTTTAAATAATTTGGCACAAATGATCACATGACACAACATCAACGTCATTGTCGGTAAAAGGTCAAGAAGTACTCAATCATGTTCACTGCGTAAGGGGATTTAGCTGTCCTTTAGACTGTCTTGTTTTGTATGGATGTCTTGAGATAATAGCTAGATAGTACTTTACTTAACATCGAGGTCAAAAGTGTGTTAAGTCTTTGGAACTTATTGTGCAGTACGCGTCTCGTTTGCAGAAATATTCAAGTTAATCAGATGATCATCTTTTTGTCCGATTTGTATTTTCTTCATATGATTTATTGTCTTTTATTATTATTTGTCAACGATGTAAACTAAGAAAAGATTCGATGAATGATAAAAGAATATATGTTTTTGCAAGGCTGGCACGATTTCAGTCCAAGATTGTTTTATATCGCTCAGGCGTTAAAGGCGCATTTATGCTATTATTTATATTCCTCAATAACTTTTGTTTTTGGTATCTTGTTACAGTTTCCAAAGATAAGCACCAAAAACTAACTTGCTATATACACGAATTATCTATTGCTTTTTTTTGCTCTGTCGCCAATTTGTATAATGATATGGAATTAGTATTTTGTATGGAAGTCAAATTATGATTAATATGATTAAAGGCGCTTTTCTTTTCCTTTTTTGTTGGGCTTCACAGTGAAGGTCGATGGCGATTATCCAGCTTTACTGGTGGAGGTGCCCTTTCGTGCATTATTTCAGGCACGAACGAATATCTGCGAAGAACCATTCCGTAAGCTAGCTTGATAATTTCCTTACATGAAAGAATTCGAAGTCCCTGTCGGGGTTCTATTCCACAGCAATAAGTTGAAAGTTGTTTGAAGTCAACGATCTTAACCACTAGGGCACGGACGTTTTGGCTCTGAGTTTAAAAGCCTTTAAACATTAAATCTAAAAAATAACATAGATTAACTGGAGCATTTGAAGTGGTAAAGTTTGCAAAGGATAATATAGAGTTATACTTAGAATTAAATTGAAAATCGATAGTTATAATTCTAGTCCAATTTAAGAAAAAAGCGTTTCAACGCTTATCAATATTAAAAAAAGACAGGGTAAGGGAATGATCTGAACTTTGCAAATGAATAAATAGTTTAGACATACAGCAATTGTTTTGTAAATAATTGAAAAGTCCAGTCCTGCCACGTCAAAAACCTCAATTGTGGTGTCAATTAAACAAGATTTTAGGAAACGAAGCTGTGAATGCGAAAAACAACTGGATTTACAGTAAGACATTCTATACAATATGGAGCATTACAGGAATCTTGAAGGACTTTATATCTTATAGCCGGAATCTTGAAATTCTTATTACAAATTGAAACAGAAGTTTGGAAAATATGTTTAATTAACCTTGATGCCGATCACCAAACATTGCCGCTTTCGCTCCCTATTTAGCTTCTTCAAACAATAAAGACATATTTATCGCCACTCGGACTTTACTATTTGCTTTTTTGTATCAAAGTTTATTTTTGTATAATTGTTTCTTTTTTATTGTCCTTCAGTCAAAGCCGCCATTATATTAATATTTCTTTTATGAACATCTTCATAATGGCGAAAAACAACTGAATAATAATCTCAGGCAAACTAATAACGAGAGTTATGAGGAGTGTATCACCGAAAAATTGAATAATTTCTTTTAAAGTAATCTAAGAAAGAAAATTCGTTTAAATAGCTAAAAAAACAAGGCAAATAAGAAACAAACAAAAAATAAAATCTATAAAAACATCTACCCCCTCCCTAAAACAAGAAACAACATTAACAACAACCAAGAAAACAAAAAAATGTCATAAAACGCGTAAAAATTGCCATGACATATAACACTACATATCTGGAAACAGGATAATCATTTACGAAGCGCTATGTACAGATACTTACCGGAAACATTTGGATCTTAACGTCGTGACTTGTAGACAAATAAATTACTTTTATGACCCATCTAATTAATTTCGTATGTTTAACTGATTGATGTAAACGCGGAAACTTTCCTTCGTTAAATAAATGGATAATATGTTTGAAAAAAAGAAAACAAAATGTTCAGTGAATTAGTTTCCAACCATATTCATTACAATTGCTTTTAGTTATATTACTATGTCTGCGTCGGAAAAGGTTTAATGTCTACAATGTCTACAATGTGTATCATTTGTTTAGAACACATTTATTGTCTGTGTATCTGAGTTTATTTATACTCGCCACCGGTTGCCCATATGAGCGAGTTCTCCAGAAGAGTAACAGTCATTTTAGATTTAGGGGGATAGTGCAAGATACGGATACAGAAATATGCCCCAATCCAGAAACTTATTCTGGTTGTTTAGAATGCCAAGTGTTTCAGCACTGATACGCGGGATCTCGATTCAAAATCTCATCCGAAAGATTGCTAAGTAATTTTAGTAGGCCAGCCCGGGAATCGAACTCAAAATGTCGAAATTACAAATCTCACGAACTAGGCCGACTGGCATGACGCATCTAATTTCAATTGTAAGACTTTAAAATTTAGACATACAACTTTGAGAGTTTTAACACAATACAAATGCATGACACCTTAAACAAGAAACGTACAAACAGACCTTCATGGTATTGTTATTTTATTGTGCTTTAATATTTTTTCTTATGTATGATTTTGGAAAATAATAATTAATACTTGATTGAATCGCAAATTATTTATCATCTTTTATTATAGATGTTTGAAAAGCCCTACATTATAAACCTCTCACGGGAACAATAAACGGGTTTGCCTTCTTGCCTAAAAAAAACTTAAAAAAATAAGAACAAAACAAACAAGAACAAATTACAAAATTATGAAACCGGCGACAGGCGTTAATTTAATTTTTTTTTAATTCTCTAATCAACCAAATTATATCATTTTAATGATTCCTCGGATTCTTTAAAAGAAAACTACAATTCAATTTCTAAAACTTGATATTTTTGTTCATAAAATCGTCTCATTATTGAAAATTGATTAAACAACGTTTCAGTAGCAGCTATTTTATCAAGCTTATGACATTATGAATTCATATCCCTGCAATATTTTCTTTTATAATGTAACCGTGAATTCTCTGTTAATGTTTATACAGGTTCGCCCTCTGTATTTTAGAAAATTAGAAAAAGTTTTCCTGGTAAATGATCGAGCCGTTATGTTTAAAGAAAGCACACTAATTAATTATACTTGTATGAATCAAGATATGCTTTAATAGAATAATTCAATAGTCATTGCAACTTGAATATAAAAGCAAAAAAGATTTACATATTTTATAACATACATATATATGATTTATAACATATGTTATTCATAACATATTATTACGATTTATAACAATGTTGACGGATTTATAACAACCTTGAAGTAGGAGATAGACCAGAAATGATATTTTCTTTATTGTAATCTTACTTTTTATCAAAATCCCTCTTATCTATTTAATACATAGATTCAGTACTGAACGAGTTAAATCAAAAATTATATTACTATCGAAAAAGGGTTCGGCTTTTTATTATGTTTTCACAGAATTTGTTTCTGCAACATCTGTGTTACTGAAACAATAATTTTTGTTGTAATTATAGAACATCTTTGTGATTTTACTGGAGAAGTTAACAATATTCAATCCGTAAGTTTTTTGGCGAATTGGGGCTTTTCATGACGGTGATTCTTTTAGGTCGCAGAGAGAACAAGAGGAATGCGCAAAATGTGTCCAAAATTTTTATCGCTTGTCAGCAGCCATTGGAAAACATTTTATTAATCGATGCAACACGTTCTTGCTTTGTTTGTATCCAAAAACATTTCACGCATAACAAGAGAAAAACACGTCAGGCCACATATCAATAATTTATCCTTAACATGGAATATATTTATGACACAAAACAATGCGACATCGAAGAAACGAAAATCATTTCCTTGTAATATGAGAATGCATTCCCTACCTTACATACAATGAAAATAAAATTATCGCCGCCCGTACATCATTTTTGATGTTATTAAATATGTTTTCTGATGTTTTCTTTGTGTATTGTTGTTTTCTTTTAATTTATCTGAAATGAAGGCTGTCAGGATATCTAAAACTTCCTTGTGATATACATTGTAATTGATGCCATCTGA